TAATATATATGTTCTTTATTATTTTTACAATTAAAAATATATCATAAAAATATTTTACTTCACAAACACTTACTCCGATGTATAATATTCAGGATATATAATTTTAATTATATTATAAACGGAATAATATGATAAAATATATATATTTGAAAAAAAAAATACAATATAAAATTATAGATAATATATTCTTTAAAGTAAAGTAGCTTTAAATTCATTGTTATCATCAATATACTGTTTTTTGATATAAGCTGATAGATTTATTAAATGATTAAATGAAATTTTAAAAATTAAAACAATGATATATTAACAATAAATTACTATGTAAAAATTGTATATAATAAATAATATGGAGAATAAATTATTAATAAATACATAAACAGTGGTATACACAATAAAATGTTAAAATGATATTCATCCTTAAATAAATTTAATATAAACGTATATTCATTTAATAATTAAATATACATAAATACAAATAAATATATTTTTATAAATTATTAAAGCAAATCCACATAATATGTATAATACATGATATAATAAAATTTACATAACAAGACCGCATTTTTCTTAATCGATATGAATGAAAACTGAAATATTAATATAATTCAAGCAATCATAATAAAATATCTATAAATTAAGAACAGTAGAATAATGGATATAAATAAAAACATATCACTTATATAAAAGACACAATAATGAAAAACATATACATATAAAAAATAAAAAATAATCCATAAATAATTTAAAAAAAAAAAAAAAAGCATGAACAAAACTAAAACACTGGACTCTATACTCCGAACACTAAATCAAAACTCTGTACTCTAAATCTAAATCCTGAACCTAACCCTGAATTTTCTATTCTCTGTAAAAAAAATATCCTAATTGTCTTAGGGGAGGGTTATTAATATATATGCTATAGAGTGCACAATTTTCATAACATATAAACCTATATGTTTCACATAAATTGTGTCTGTATATATGTACTTTTTGATTTTTATTAGATATATAATTCTTTTTATTATTTTTTTTTAATTATATAAAAAAATTTTGAATTATATAATTGTAATTTTACGAACATAGTTAATGTATAAAATATTAATGTCTGTTTCTTTATTAGTTGTAATAACAAAAGATAATTCTTAATTATGCCAATAGATTATTATTACATTGTGAATCATGATAAACACTACAAAATTATTTATTTTATATGATAATATTTATAAATATATATGTTATTTATTATAATGTATTATCAAATACTTATGATACTTTTATGATATTTTATTTCATTTTTATTATTTTTTTCTTTTTTTTTTTTAAATACAATTATTCTTAAATATTATTGTTAAAATGAAACTATTCTGTATTCTTTAGTAGGAATCATACGTTCTTTATATGTACCCTATGGAGGTACATTCTCTTTGGTACTTATTATGAAACAATTTATTTTGTGTGATTTCTGATGAATCCATTATGTACATTTTACCTTTTTTTTTTTTGCTCCACATTCTCCTTATTCTTGTTGTTGCTTGTAATAATGAACCATACTGAATATACTGATAATGTAAGAGCAATTAAATATATACGATTATACTATTTATTTTATGGGAGTTTTAAATAATTATTTGTAATGTAAATTTTAAAGAAATTATAAAATAAATTAATTAATTTTGGATTTAACCTTATACACAAAAAACATTATCATAAATACTGTAATAGTTATGATAATTAAACTTAAAATAATGGAGGGTGTATTTGTCGAAATTGTATGATATGGGACTGTGCGTAATTCTTTTTTTTCTATTATTTGCATCATATTTTTTATATTTTTCTCCATAAAATTAATTAACAATTCACGAAAACTGTCGTTTTGTGAATACATAGGCATTTTTGATAATTCCTTGTATTTATTAAAACAAGCAGAATTTGAAGTGCATATATTACCTTTCAATATAAAGTATGTATATAGTTCTTTCAAATTTTTCAATATGGAATATAGGTCGTCATGAAGATCTTTAACTTGGTTCTTACATGCATCAGACACATTCATAAATTCATTTCCTTTGGTGTGATCAATGATTTTTTGGTAAGCCTCATTACAATTATTGACAGAGCAACCATAATACTTTAGTATATCTTTTAGCAGATAATTGAAATATTTACAGCTCGTTTCTTTTTCAGGGGATTTTTTATCCTTTATATAGTCTAAATAAAGAATATGTTTTTTACAATCTGATATAAATTCTCCCCCATATTTACTGACCCCCCATTCATTTTTAACATGACTACAGAAATTTTGAAGTTTAGAATCTTGAATGTTTTCTCTAATATTTGCATGTTTTTCATAATCCGTCATGCAACCAGAAAATATATCCTCAAATTTGAACTAAAAAAAAAGAATCAATGCATATAAAAAATTAAAATAATATTTATAAAAAAGTATTTTTTCCTAATTTTATTTACACAGTATTATTTTAAATTTAATTAACTTGAATTGTGATCAATGCTAATGATAGGAACATACGTCATGTTCATTATGTCCTGAGGTAGACATTATACTATTTTATGCAACTTATACAAGATAAATTTTATATTTTTTTAATGACAGGATTTTACACGTAAATGTATGATAATTAATATTATATATATATAAGATATTTTAATATACATTACTAAGTTTAAGGGTGTTTTAAATTTATATTTTTATTTTGTTCTTCCTATTTAATATAATATCAATTCACCATCACTTCTGGATAAGGAAATCTAGCATTTACATTATTAAATAATACGAGTAAAAGATATGTATCTCTGATATTATATTAAAACACAGAATGGGAAAAAATATATTTTGTATTACAGTTATACATACAACACATATATAACAAATTAATTATTCAATATAGTAAGCTCGGAAATATATGTATTAATATAATCAATATTTTTCAGCATAATATATATTTATATGTCTCTTTCTTTTATGAATATATTAGAAATATATGGATATAGGTAATAATTTATTATTTTTGTAAAGTAAATATAAATACATTTTGTAAAATGTTGTATTCTTATTTTTATATTTATAATAAAATGTATATTTTTTGATTTTTATTCTACGTACTAAAAAGGAAAAATATGTTTATATGTAAATACAAGCACCTATTATTTATATAAAATAAAATGTTTAATAAAAAGATATATTATTATTTAAAAATAATGGGATAATTTTAACTTATACTGACAAAATTATAAACATTACAATAATAATTCTTTTAAATGTTGTAGGTATTTCATATATTTTATATTTTGAGCTTTTTCATTTATCCATTATCTATATCATTAATCTAATATATAAAACATACAGCAAAACATTATAATTAATTATAGCTATATATGTATTATACATATTAAGAAAACATAGATTTCATTTAAAATCAACATCATAGAACAATTAATTTTGTAGAAGACCCTATGTAATATATAATTATGGAATATATTGTATATTTCTATCTTTACAATACATATAATGTATATATAAATTTTATTATATAAGCATAATTCTGAAAACGGAAGAAAAAATAATTTCCATATATATCTAATGCTGAGCAAACAAAAAAATATTCAATGTATTTTACATTTATTTATTTTATTAACACTCTAAAAAAATGTGTCCTTACATTATACAAACCTACAATAAAATTGCAACATATATCAAAAAGTATATATCATATCAATGAATGTATATAATTTTTTGGAGTTCATGTTTCGAAGATAAATTATATTTTGTAACTCATACAATACGTTTTTTCCCTTTTTTTTTAAGGATATCATATACATTATATTTATATTTGCGTATCAACATCAACCATGTATATCGAAATTTAAATAATAAAAAACTTTATATATATATATATATATGTATCACCTAAAAATAATAATGATTAAATCAAAGAAAAAAATTCTGGATATTTGGAGATAAAAAATACAAAATAGTATTTCTGTAGTTAACATTTCATATATTGATGGAATAATTAATTAAAACTTCAAGGTACTTAACATTAAAGTATATGGGATAAATACATTACATTAAAAGCAGTAAAATATATTGATTTTACTTTTTATAAAGAAATTCTGAAGGAATAAAATATTTATGTTTCTTATTTTTCACATATATATAACACATTATAATTATGATTTTCTATATTATATAATTTTGAAAAACATTATATATTCATTGTATGACAGATTTGTACATAATTGATATTTCATTCCCAAAGCTATAAGAATTATATGCTTTATTATACTATAAATGTTATATTTATGGATAAATTACAATATGAGAACATAATATATTGTGTACTCTTATTTTTGTTATTTAGTGCTAAATACTAGTGTCAACTCGTTAGAGTGTATTTTTAATAGAAAATCAAAATGTATTATTATTTTATATAACAAAAATATTACACAAGTAGATATAGTATTATTTACAAATTTATCTTTATAATTAAAGTAAAATCGGAATATGCGAAATCATGATATACTGAAGTAAATCATAAACAAGAGACATTTTCAAGTTTAGTATTCAGCGTTCATAATTTAGTTTTTGCCGCCTAGGATGATGAGTTAGATATTTTTTTATTACATACATATTTTTTTTTTTTTAATATTTGTGTAATAGATTGATTGAATACATATTTATATCAATGTAAAAAAAAATTTCTATGCATATATAAATGAGATATTTATTGATAATGTATTTGTACATACCATATACATTAATGCTTTGGAATTTTCTACATGATCATAGTTTTATGTTAACATATATTATTACTTATATATTTATAATCATATATTAATTATACATATATGTATATTTATTTTTTGTATCAGTTATTTTTTTATATATTAATTATTATATAGTACTATAACAAGCCTTTCTAAAAAATAAATAAATATTTATAACATAAAAATAACTTAATATAATATATTCATTAATCCTTATATTGGAGTACCTATGTACATAATTATTTTATTTATAATTTTAATACGTATAAAAACTGAATTCAAAAAAGTAAGAACAAAAAATATATCTATATATATCTAGGTATAATCGGGTAATGGAAATTTATTATCTATATAAGCCAGATAGAACTATGAATGAAATATATAAATATATTATTTTAATTTTATAAAAATATTGCTTTTTTTAAATTTTTTTTTATATAATTATAAATGCATTCTTTCTTAAATTAACTAATAGCTAGATCATAATTATTATGTTTAAAGATAAGAAATAAGCACATTGAATATTTTTTATTTTAAAATTATTATTTTGAGTTTTCTTTAAAGCTGAATAAACACTTTATTATGATATTAATATGATAGTAATCCTTTTTTATTTTTATTACATTTCTGGAAATATTTATAATAGGGAAAAAGAATTTTACGGGGTGTAAAAATCAATATTTTAATAATTACATCATGTAATGTTCCATCCGTTTTTGCATTTATTCATTTTATTGTAATTATCGTAATTACAATCATTCTAGAAAGTACTAACAATTTGAAGATATATACTACATATAGATATAATTCAAAAACTAATAAACATTATTATAACATTTAATATAATTTAAGGAAAAGATTAAGAATTTAGATGTTTCACGCATATTTTTAAATATAATATATCCATAGAAAAAAGAAATTATTTTTTTATGTATTTACAATTTACTATGTGACATATGTTTCGGACATACTTATATAACCTATATTACATATTAAAAAATAAATTCAAATTATGTATTAAGCAAGCATGATATTATAACATGTATGTTTCTCTGCACTGAAAAGATTATAAAATTTAGCACATAATTCATAATTTATATTTACTGAATTCATAAGTGAAAGGAAATATTATGCCTCATATTGTTAAAATGCTTCTCAAAAAGCACAAAAAGTTACTTTTGTTCAAGTAAAATTGAAAAATAAAATAATCAAGAAAAAACATATATATCACATGCATAAATATATAATTTAATTATAGAGTTATATGCAATAAATAAGATATAAAATTTATTTATTCCTAGATATCATGATTCATACCTTATGTTTCCCTTATATTATTAAAATTTATATATAAATTTATGTATTATGATGAAGAATATTTTACGTATTAGTACATGTTGTTAAAATAAATAATATAAATTAGTAATTATACTATACATATACAGTATATATATATGGACATAGAAATAACTAAATTATACATAATAATTTTTTATAATAGACAATAAATAATGTTAATATATGTATATATATAATAAAAAAATAACATATTTATATATTTAATACACATTTATTTTACAGAAGTCTTCATAATTAATGAAATACATGATAAAAAAAATTTCGTATAATGTATAAAACGCAATTAAGGATCATATAAATTTATATATATCAAATTGTTCACATGTCTTCTTTATTTAAATAATTATAAATAAAATATTTATGTAATTATGTATGAATGCAAAAACACTTTTCATAAAAACGAATAAAATGGAAATTTTTAGTTCTATGAACTTAGCAATAAATTCAAAAGATAATCCTAATATGCTGAAATATTGTATCATAAAATAGACAACTCAAGTTTTTTTATTATTTTATATTATATATGAATTATTTTATTTTTACATGATATATTTGATGGAAGAATTTTGAAAAGAGGTTGATTATATTATTCTGTATAAGTTATAAAAAGAACCCTTTTTTTTGAATTAGAAATATAATAGTAAATCTAAGGAGAATTATACAATATATTATAACTACTATTCCAAGATATTCTTCTAGATATTTCTGAATTTTGCATTATATTCTTTGCACCTTTGAGAAGATGCCATTCATTCATTATATTTTTTATTCCACGATGCGGGCATGAATTATATAACGTGAACTATTTCGCAATAGAAAAAAGTACGTATTAAAAATATATTAATATTATAATTTTTTTTTTTTTTTAAAATGATTATTATTTTATATAAATATATGTATAAACACCACATATAACCTTATAAATTATAAATAACAAAACGGGTATTATTAATATTAGAATAGTTGATATCATAGCAGTTTTGGATTTACTAGTTCTTGGAGAGTGTAACCGTATGATCTCATTTTTTTCACAAGGTAACTTATTGCATTTTACATTAATACACTCATTAGTTAAATTTGGTATTCTATTATACTGATCTTTTATATGATTTAATGCTTCACAAAAATAACTTTGAGTGCGGGATTCACAAGTTTTATGGTGTTGTTCATATATATTTAAACATGCAACAAGGCAATCGCACTTACTTTTGCCAGACGGGTAAGATGAATTTATTACGTAATAAATCATGTTATTCATGTCATTTAAATCGTTCAATTTTTTCAATTTATCTTCTGAAATAGCAAAATGCTTATAATTGTGGCACATATTGCTGCCATAACCTTTTACTATATTAATGAGTTTTATATAAAATTCATTCGTTTTATCACTTCTATTACTTTCCTTAAAAAATTTGTACAGCCAATAATACAAGTAAAATCAAGATATTCGCGTAGATACATCATCGGGATTACCATTAATTGTATATGCAAATGACAAAGCTGCTTTGCACTTATCTTCATTGAATTTATTATTTTCTAAAATTCCAGTTGCTGCAATACTTCCTAAAGTACAATCATCACCATGAAACACCGTTTTTTTTTCATAATTTTCTATAGATTTATTATAAGCAGGAAATTCCTTTACGATAGTGTACTAAAAATAAGTAATGAATAAATATAAAACATTTTATGCTCTTAAATAGAATTTTTCGTATTACATATGGAAAATGCAACTTCTATTCTCATATTATATATTAATAATAATAATAACTTCAATCAAATCCATTGCAGAAAGTACAATATAATTTTGAGCATAATCTAAAAATAATAAAGATATTTAAAAAAATGTATATATATGCTTCATTTAAATAAAGGATATAGAATAAGGAAGTTTACTGTACCTTTTTTAAAATAAAAGAATATGTAAAAAATATGTATCAATACTCTTGATTATTAATAATTATTGTGTTACTAATATAGTAGGAAACAGAAGTGACAAACTATGTATCTTATTAATTATTAATATTATATAGAATGGAAAAATATATATACTTTATTTAGAATAAATAATTTATGTCTATATAAAAGGTATAATATTATTGCTTTCATGGTAAGTAAAAATTATATAGTTTAGATAAACCTTCATATAATGTATGTATATATATTGTTAATATATAATATTAATTTGAATATGTACGTAATTGCATATATAATATCCACTAGTATAATCTATTAGGCTTAACACATTTACCTTTTAGATACATGCTTAATTAACATTGAATCATTAAGTAAAATGGATTATATGATCATCTTGTGAATTCTATCTTTTTATATGAATTACTTATAATTACACTGAAAAGTTTGTATTAATGTCTCTATATATTATAATATATAGAAAATATTGAATATTCAATATAAATTTATACTCAGTATTAACATTTTTATTCATTTATTTATTTTTTCAATTATTTTTACTCATATATATATTTATTGTGTAATTAAAATACAAATATTTTCTATGAATCTCGAAAGTTCCGCTTCTTTTTACATGTAAATACATAAAAGAAACGCGGCTTGTATAAAAAATATATAACATAGCTACAATTGCCACAACTTAACATTTTATCATTCTAACATATCACATTATATAATTGCATAACATAATAATAAATATGTGTGTTGCAAATAAGAAGTTTATAGTACACTGAATATATATATTCCTTATGCTTTTATATTGTTTATACATAATCTAATTTTATTTGAAAAATAGAGAATCTATTTATTTTTCTTATTTTAATGTGCTCAATTTTAAAACAAGGTAAATGTAAATTATTATATTTGTACGCATGTTGTTTAAGCATTAAAAAAAAAACTTTTTTTATTATTTCCAAAATAAGTATAGCATACAATAAAAAAAAAATTCTTAAATCATTTTTTCATAAAAAAAACAATATATGTAAAACTTTTTTTCAATTTATCATATATATAAACATTTATTTTTATGTTTATGTAGAGACACCACAACGTATGAATTATATTAAAAAAGATACATCAGGTGATGAATAACTTTTGCTATGATATTTATTACATAAGTTATGATAATAGATATGAATAGAATTAAATAATTATATTTAACATATTTATTTCTTATATTATATTTATGTTTAGTTATTATTATGTCACATATTCATAGGAAGTTTTATGTATTTTAATGAATTTCATATATTACAACAATAATATGTACGTTACTTCCAAAATATTTTAAGTGTACAATTTTATTTATATTCTTATTACTTATACGCAGTATATATTTTTATGAGTACTCATGCTATTCACAGATATATTAGATTTAATAATCGTTTAATACATACATATATATATAATTTATTGATGTTAATTTACGATGAATCTCTGAACATTCAGATATATATAACTGGTATATATTAGCAAATTTAAGAAAATTCTTCAACTTTGTGCTACACAATTGAAGATTACTAATGAATTATGAATTCTTATATATTAATAAATATATGAACTATAATATAATAATAAACAATATTTTATCATAATATTGTAATACATATGTAGGGGTATTTGAAAAAAAAAAATTCAATTGAAAATATTTGCTTCTTTTATGTGTTACTTATCATTGGCTGGTTAATGAAGAATACATGACAAGCAGAAATTTTTTTAGTTTCGATATACATAATAATTTCATAAATAAGGTATAATAATGTATGAATAATGTTAATGAGAATAAAAAAATATGAAATATATGTTTCATTACGTTTAATATTACTATTGTTGTAAAATACAATAATAATTTTTGATAAGAATAGATTCTTTGTTCTTATAATTTAACTACATACAAATTAATTCTAAGAGTAAATAAAATATTGAATTAATATTATTGATTATTATTGAAATAAAGATTATAATTAATATATATTATATAATTTTATTGATATCTATAGTAACATAAAAAGTGTTAAAACGTCCTTGTAGATTTTACAGCAATCACTTGTAAGGAATAATGCACAAAAGTAAATTACTTAATAAACTATGCTTATGAACATTTTAAATTAACAAAGAGTTATATTATAAAGTATAGAAATGAAATGTATTTCAATAAATAAATTGTATATTATCGCTATAATCTATATGCAAGGAATAAATAATTAAACGTACACAAAAAGGAAGACTCTTATGCTAAAGAAAAAGTTGAGGCTTTTAAAAAATTTAATAAAATTAGTATGATTACTGAGCTAATGTAATTAAAAAATTTATATTATTCTATAAATATGTAGTACAAAATGAAAAAAATATATATAAAGTGAATTTCATAATAGTATTAATATAAATTATATAAATATATTGCACTTAGGTACTACATAAAAATTTATTATGTACACATATGTAAATGTGTTATTAAAATTACCTTCTTTAAATAATTATTTAGTCAGGAAAATTTTATAAAAACTAAAAAATATAAGAATAATTACTAAAATTCCTTAACCATCGATGCTCAATTCAAACACATTATATCTTTACTAAGTTATTGTATACACCGTTTATCTATAATATGATTTAACTCCTTTTATAATACAACAAAATTGAAATATTAATTTTAGTTAATATCTAAATTTACATATCATAATAATACATATATTGTTTTATTATATTCATCACGTATTATACTCCTTCATATATATTTTAGATGTATACACTACGACAAAAGTTATGGGTTTCTTATAATGCTAATTATGTAAGTTATATATATGTACACAAAATAGACATTAATTGCGCAATAAATATAATTTATATAAAAAATATAATTTATAAAAATTATAATATTTTAAAGCTAAATGTATGCTATAAATATTTTTATTTAAGAACATAAATATATATATATATGTAATTACGATATAAGGTATTTGATAATATTTTATCATTAAAGTGATATATTAATATTGATCAATCGTTCCTATATTTTTATGATTTACTATTTTTATATTCTATGTATTTCCTTAAGTTATATTATAATATATATATGATTAATTTTCTAATAGTTCTGTTATATTTGTATAAATAAATCTGTTTGTGTCATACTATAATTTAACTGGAATCAAGTTTTCCTTAGTATTATTGTATACTTTATATAAGGGGGTATTTAATTTTTAAATATTTTATTTTTTTTTATTTTTTTGCCTTATTTTATATTTATTATATATCTTACTACAATGTATTTGCTCATATTCTTCTTGTTTAATATCAAAATTTATTTGTTGTTTTAATTAGACATAAAAATCAGTTATTTCCTTAAAAAAAATATTTTATATAATCATAAAAATATAAAATTATTATTGAATTTTTCTATGTTTTTCTATTTAATTATTATATAATATAAAGGTATTTAGTATATATTTAATTTATAGTACTTTTTCACAAACGAATATAATTATAGTTAATTATGTCGGTACGTTTTAAAATTTACATTACTTGCATTTTTAATTATTTTTTTAAAATAATTAAAAGGAATTCTATAGTTTTATTATTTTATTCATATGGTTTTATTTTTATAATTATTTTTTCAATTTCTCTAACAAATTCTCTCCAGTAGCTTCATTTATTTCCTTAAAGTATTGTTATAAAAATTAGCTTATTTTGATAGTAGTACTCTTCTATGATATAAGAAATATGGCACCTCCTATTAGTTTAGTCTTGGGATGTTTTATAAAATGAATCTATTATATTTTATATTCATTATTTTTATTTTTGATGAACATTCTTTTTAACTATATTACTCTTGGTTGTACATATAGGTCCCATCGGATTTAATAAAAAAAAGATGAGAAAAGATATTCTGAGCTAATTGTTTTATCATTTATATAAATTTATCAAGGTAATATGTAACTCTAATTATATAAAAATATATATTGAATAAATTTAATTTAAATTTAACATTATACACATGAACATAATTATTAATATAGTAAAAGTTAAAATAATGAAGCTTCTGCCTATCCGTGATGTTATTTGCCCTTCTGATAAAATCCTGTGTAGTGCGCTTTTCCCCTGTATTTTGGTTGTCTCCTCTACTTGGGTTGTCAGCTGTGCTCTTTTTGTACCTCTTCTTTGTTTTGCACCTTTACTTGTCTTTTCAGCTCTACTGGATTTCTCAACTCTTTTGGGGTTGTGATAGCCTTAGAAGTTGGTTGAAATATTTAAATTTTAATAATTTAAGGGCACATTTTAATATATCTATCATTAAGTTTTGTAAGAATATCTATGAAAGCTACATTATCATTTTAATTGAAATATTTTAAATGTTTTATATAAGTACCAAAAACTCTAATGTCTACACTCCAGCAAAAAGACATTATGTTATTAATCCTCATATAAAAAGTTTCACATAATATATCAAGATGATAAAATATTTTACAATTTTCCTGAAGAATTTCTATAATTTTCCTCTCACATATAGGAAGTACCTTAATAATTTAATTGTATCTTGCTTTTTTCAATTTATCGTAAAAATCATTTATTCCACTACAATTATTAATTATAGATATTATGGCTTCCTTCATTTGTAATTGAAATATTTA